ATGCAAGGAACACAGTAAAAAAAAAAAAAATGATCAACAGTTTTTAATCACCAGGAGAGAGGGTGGATTTCGCTGGATGTGGTGTACGGCAGGCATGTTTATTTCGGAGACCCTGTTGCTGCACTACTGTCGCATGGCACTCGTCTACAGCTGCAAAACGGTGGTGGTCACTAAAGAAGCAACAAAGGCGCGTATGGAAAGGGAGGGCGCACTGCTGCAATCCTGTTGCTGAGGATGTTTTTTTGACTCGGGAGACCAGCAGATAATGAGGAAGAACACAGAGCCATGTTAAGAGCCATTTTTGAAGAAACATGTCAATCATACAAAGTGCAACAACAACANTTCGGAGACCCTGTTGCTGCACTACTGTCGCATGGCACTCGTCTACAGCTGCAAAACGGTGGTGGTCACTAAAGAAGCAACAAAGGCGCGTATGGAAAGGGAGGGCGCACTGCTGCAATCCTGTTGCTGAGGATGTTTTTTTGACTCGGGAGACCAGCAGATAATGAGGAAGAACACAGAGCCATTTTAGAGCCATTTTTGAAGAAACATGTCAATCATACAAAGTGCAACAACAACAGAGTGCACGGATCGATACTTTCCGCAAGTTCTGTGTCGAAAAGCACCTCAAGCTAGAGCACAGAGGTGACTTCATTTTTGCTAAGCCAGCGTCTGCAGGCGCGGAAGAACGTTTCAGGGTTAAGAGGCGGGACAATGGTACAGCAGTTGTGTCACGAGTCGCTAGCACGCAGGGTAGAGGTCTCATGTGTGTAAGCAGTAAGTACGTATAGCTCCCGTTCACGTCACGGTTTATGGTGCGAGGAAGGGGATTATTGCTCCTGACAGGTGTTCGCTCATCCAACCATGCACACACACTGACCTCTTCTTGTGCAATCGAACGACTGTACCGAGTGCGATGAGTAGTGCAGATACTCGTACCAGCTGTAGTAGCCGATGTAGTGTCGGAGCAAAGGCCTCCTTGTAGATGTTATGGTCTTATTCTTTTAGTTTAAGCTCAGGATGGTAGCTTGGTTGTGAGCAGAGGAGGGCGAGTCCAGACAGCTCTTGCAGAGGCTCCGCTGAATGCGGCCAACTACCTCTGTGGGGTTGTACTTGCGGGACAATGAATGCCCCGAACCGTAACAGTTGTACCGCTGTATCGCGACGTACGCTCGCGGCGTTGTTGGTCAGAGAGCAACTGCTACTGCTGTAAAAAATCACCTGCGGCTGTCCTGCTCGTTTTCTTCGGCATCCACTTCCATGGGACTGCTGCTGCTGCCAGCCTGGTCTCCACCTTTGCTCTTCTGGCAATCCGAGCACTCTCTCTGCTGTCCGTAGCCTTCCTCTCCGATGCCCCGACCACAAAACGCGTGCATGGATCGCCCGCACGGGCACTGGTGAACCGCTGACACGAGTTGAGACTTTTGCTGGCACGTGGGTTCGCCACATGGCCTCAAGCCGGCAGCTGACGACCCGCCAGCAGATGGGAGGAATCTCTCCATACCCACACGCAGTAGTGCGGGCTGCAGCAGACCGCTGTCCACGTTACAATGCCTTACAGATTTGCTGCCCCAGCAAAATTTTGGGGGGGGGGCGCATAGTGGAAACCCTACCCCCCTTTATTATTGTACATCTGCGGGGCACCATGTTCTGGGGAAAAAATGTGTCTTTATAGCGGGGAGTTTCCTTAAGAAGAGTGTCTTTAAAGCGGGGACGACTGTA